AAGGGCATTGACTGGGATTAAGCACCGGAACATTGTGAACCTCTACGGCTATTGTTCGAAAGCACAACACTTGCTCTTGGTTTATGAGTATGTGGAGAGGGGGAGTTTGTCTAGCATTTTGAGCAACAAGGTTGAGTCCAAGAAATTGGATTGGTTTAAAAGAGTGAATATCATCAAGGGTGTTGCTTTTGCTTTATCTTACATGCACCAGGACTGTTCACCCCCGATTGTCCATCGAGACATAAGTAGCAGTAATGTTTTGCTTGATTCTGAGTATGAAGCTCGTGTTGCAGACTTTGGCATAGCGAAGCTACTCAAGCCAGATTCATCGAATTGCACTGCACTTGCAGGCACATATGGCTATGTTGCACCTGGTAAGTTTTAAATATTTCATGAAAGCCAAACACTATTGTTTTTATCTTATTTACAAGTTTAAATTGATAATATTGTTCTGGAAACTGTATTGTTCAGAGCTTGCATATACTATGAAGGTTACACAAATGTGTGATGTCTTTAGCTTTGGAGTACTATCATTGGAGATAATAAAAGGAAAACATCTTGGGGAATACATTACCGTGCTAGCAGATTCATCGACTATAGATCCTGAGCAGCTTAGCGATTTTCTGGATGAACGGCTTCCATATCCTGAAGATAGAGTAAAAGAGGCTTTGGTTTTTATCATCAAGCTAGCATGCTCTTGTTTGCTTGAAAACTCCAAAAATTCAAGGCCAACAATGCACTTCATCTCTCATAAGTTATCATCAATGGATGCACGTCCACCTATTCATCAGAGAAACCCCCATGTAAGGCGAGCAATATAATCCCTGATATGTATGGAAATGAATAACCTTTGTTGCTGATTGGTTGTGAAGTATGTATTTCAATTGCTGGGCCTAGCATTGTTAGGGTCCTCATTTGGTTTACTTTATTAATATGCATATTGTAAGAGGTATTATTTAATCTTCTGCTTCTTTGGCCTTGGGTAAAAACCAGGATTTCAAGTTGCTGCATTTTTATTTTTTTTGCTTTTGATTGGCCTAGAACATATGCAGGAGCACTAGTTTTAGTGATTTACTAGTCTTTTAGTTTTCGACTCTTAACAATTTCCTTTTGGCCATGATTGATTGAAGCAAATTTAAAGAAGTTTAGAATCAAAGTTCTGCTAAGTTGTAAACCTCTGGAGCCAGGAACAGGGGAATTTTGGCATTATGGGAAGGAATAATTGCTTTAGTTCAAGTTACAAAACGGTGAAGTCATTGTTGTTAATAACCTCGGCTCAAGGAAAAACATTCTAAAGCAGTCATGAACAAGAAGTAAAGGAAGTATAAGAAACAACAGATAATAACAAAAAATGGTAACAGCAACATCAGGTAGCAATAGAACAGAACTGCAACAAAACAATAGGACAAACCTACAACATATGGGAAATACTATGACTACTATGTTACACATAGTACTTCTTACGATTTTAAAGATTTTATTTGTATGCATAAAAGCCAGAAAAAGATCCGTTCTGTTCAAGACTTTCCCCAACTGAATATACAGTTGTGCTTCAGTGAAATGACTAATGGGATTACTATTTGTCCATTGCTGGAAGCCTGCGCCAGTTTTTACATCCACGGAAATACTATAAATAACAAACTCCAATACAATTTGTCAAAATAACATGCCTAACAAACTCATTTAACATTGTTTTTCTAATTCAAATGGAAGAAAAGGAGAATCCAGGTCTTCTTCTTGGCTGGTCCACAAAATGACTTAATGATCTACCTCTTCTAGGAAAATTTCTTTGCTAAGGGAGTAAAAAAACACGATCTACCTCCAAAATTCACTAAAACACGAACAGTTTTTAGCTTATAACTTTATAACCAAAGGGACTACATCTAATACCTTACACAATTGCAATACACCCAATTATAGCAATATTCATTTCCAGATTACACTCCTCCTAGTTTAAAAAGTATACTCAAAAACTTCAATACTTTGATTACCTACTGCACAACTTCTATGAAAGCAAATAGGTTACAAATCAAGAACAAAAGTACAACCCAAATCAACCAAAGAACTAAAGTTGGTTAAATTTCTCACATGTAAAAAATTAAATAATTTTACAGATTGATAAAATGAAAAATGTTATGTTAACTCAAAGTGGTTTGGTACAAGGGATGAGATAAGTTAATCCTGCATTTTCCATTTGATCAATTTGTAACCATATCTTTTTTATTTTTTCAAATTTAGCACTAGACAAAGTGTCCAACGGCCTTTTATTTATAATAAAAAATCTCAATAGGAATAAGTACAAGCAAGGGGGGCTAGGTCTTACCTTACCAATCCTAATGCAGTAACAAAACTCTACTAACTAACAAGCATGAAGAAAATACGAGCTAGAGAGAACTAGGTATTTTGTGATCACCACAAAGTTTGTAATACACCCTATGATGATATTACAAATGAGGATGCTTAAATAGTGCAAAAATATAACAACCAGGAAGAGGTTGAGTTATCAACCTCAAACTTCTTTTTAAAGATGCGTGAATTAAAAAGAGTAATGGTTGTTAAATTTAACCAACATTAGTTCTAAAAGAGCAATGGTTGTTAAATTTAACCAACATTAGTTCTAATAAAGAGTATCCTAGTAACTAAATTATATTTAAATGTAAAAGAGAAAAAGCAAACATGACTGCTTTTTGCTTGTCAAAAACATAGCTTTCAATGTCTGTTTTTGGTATTTTTGGTGGAAAACAAGTAATGGTTGATTTTGATGGATAAAGTAAAAAGGAGGGGCAGGTTCTTCTTTCCCACTAATAAAGTAACTTGCAAATTGACTCAAATTTACTTTAATAAAATAATATAATAAAAAATAGAAAATAAGTTGAACAACAATCTCAACTATCCATGTTTATAAGTCCACGTGTTCATCATCTAAATATGCATTAACAAGTACTAGAGCTAAGCTCACTAGATCGAGCAGAGCTAAATCTGAGTTAGATCTTAATAGCTTATGCCTACTAAGCATAAGTTCGATCGCTAAATAGTAAAAATTAAAAACCAGCCTATTTGAAAGACAAGTCGTGTTATTTCTTCCTATTGCATGTCCAGTAAGTTGTCAATTAAGAAATGACTTTTGAATATATTTTGCAGAATATCTTCCAATATATTTCCGCAACTTTAAGCAAAACTAGAATAATATAGTCGATACATTGACTCATTGACTTCCAAGTCTTTCTTAGTCTTCCTGTATTTTAATGATTCTCTACACAGTATAAAACTCTACTCTGCACAAGTTCATCGATAACCAAAACAAACAACTGAAATCTTTTAGCTTCCAAGATGGTTCCCAAAATATTTTATTTCCTGATGTTTTTCACTCTCTTCACTGTTACTTTTGCTTCCGTTGAGGAAGCAACTGCTCTCCTCAAATGGAACGCTAATGTCCTAAGCCAAAATAATTCCTTACTGGCTTCATGGACACTAAGTACTGATGCATGCAGGGGTTGGTATGGAGTTATATGTTTTAATGGTCGGGTAACAAGATCAATATTACAAATGCTGGTGTTGTTGGTACACTCCATGATTTTCCATTTTCATCTCTCTTGTTTCTTGAATATGTTGATCTTAGCATGAACCAGTTCTCTGGTATCATACTCTGGTCCAATTCCAATAACTCTTGGTGACTTAACTGAGCTTAATGTTTTGTACCTTTATTCAAACCAACTTTCTGGTCCCATTCCTGCAGAAATAGGAAAGATGAAGTCACTCGAGTATTTATCCTTATGGAGTAATAATCTTTCTGGTCCAATTCCAATAACTCTGGGTGACTTAACTAAGCTCAATATTTTGTACCTTTATTCAAACCAACTTTCTGGTCCCCTTCCTGCAGAAATAGGAAAGATGAAGTCACTCGAGTATTTATCCTTATGGAGTAATAATCTTTCTGGTCCAATTCCAATAACTCTTGGTGACTTAACTGAGCTTAATGTTTTGTACCTTTATTCAAACCAACTTTCTGGTCCCATTCTTGCAGAAATAGGAAAGATGAAGTCACTCAAGTATTTATCCTTATGGGGTAATAAACTTTCTGGTCCAATTCCAGTAACTCTTGGTGACTTAACTGAGCTCAAACTTTTGTACCTTTATTCAAACCAACTTTCTGGTCCCATTCCTAGCGAGTTGGGGAATTTGAAAAACCTCAATAATCTGCAGCTATGTGATAATCAGCTCAGCGGTTCAATTCCAAGTACTTTGGGTGACTTAACTAAGCTCAATATTTTGTACCTTTATTCAAACCAACTTTCTGGTCCCCTTCCTGCAGAAATAGGAAAGATGAAGTCACTTGAGTATTTATCCTTATGGAGTAATAATCTTTCCGGTCCAATTCCTAGTGAGTTGGGAAATTTGAAAAACCTCACTAGATTGGATTTATCCTATAATCAGCTTACTGGTCTTGTTCCTGTTTCCTTTGGCAATTTGAGAAACTTGCAGACACTAAATCTCGCTGCGAACGAACTTTCGGGTTCTATTCCAAAAGAATTTGCATATTTGGATAACTTGGTTTTGTTATCAATGAGTTTCAATCACTTTTCAGGCCATTTGCCAGAGTGGCTTTGCAAAGATGGGAAACTTGAGATTTTCGTTGTGAATGGTAACAAGTTTACAGGGCCAATCCCAAGAAGCTTGAGCAAGTGCTCGAGTTTCAAAAGGGTTCGCTTCAATAACAACAGCTTTACTGGGGATTTATCTGAAACTTTTGGTATCTATCCAGAGCTTCTGTTCATTGATTTGAGCGACAACGATTTTCATGGTGAACTCAGCAGTAACTGGGGAAAATGCAAAAATTTAATTGATCTGCGTGTAGCCAGAAATAACATTAGTGGTAGCATACCACCAGAGATTGGAAATGTCAAAGGGCTTTTAGGACTTGATCTTTCATCGAATCATTTGATTGGGCAGATTCCAAAGGAATTTGGAAAATTAACTTCTCTGGTTAAGCTTTCTGTGCAGAACAACAATATCTCTGGATATATACCGGAGGAACTTGGGTCACTGACAAAGTTAGAGTCCCTCGATCTATCGTACAACAGATTGAATGGATCAATCCCGAAGTGTATAGGAGATTTCATGCACTTGTTTCAGTTGAACCTGAGCAACAAAGATTTCGTGCACTTGTTTCAGTTGAACCTGAGCAACAAGTTTGGCCAGAATATTCCAAAGGATATAGGAAGGATAACTCAGCTTAATGTACTTGATTTGAGCTATAATCTTCTGGTTGGAGGTATACCCCCTCAGTTAGCCAATTTGAAGGTCTTGGTAAACTTAAATCTTTCCCACAATGGCCTATCTGGACGCATTCCTAAAGAACTTGAAAGTTCATCTGGTTTACATGATGTTGTTTAGTCATACAATGAGTTGGAAGGTCCAATCCCTAATAATAAAGCTTTTATCAATGCCTCATTGGAGGGTAATAAAGGTCTTTGCGGAAATGTAGCAGGACTCCAGCCCTGTGAAAGGCCGTCTTCTATGGTGAAGAAGCACTCAATGGCGAAGGGACGTAAACTCATCCTCATCACTGTATTTCCTGTTATGGGAGCACTAGTACTGCTCTGCGTTTTCATTGGTGTTCGCTTTATGTGTAATAAAAGAAGGAGAGTTAGAGACGTTGAAAGAAGGGATGGTGATGGTTGGCTTTTCGATATCCATGTTAGATGGGAAGGCATTGTACAGAGACATCTTAAACGCCACAGAAGAGTTTGATGCAAAATTTTGCATCGGGCAAGGAGGTCACGGAAGTGTTTACAAGGTGAACCTTCCATCATTAGGGAATATAGCTGTGAAAAGACTTCATTCTTCATTTCAGAATACTCATCCCAAAAGCTTCATCAATGAAGTAAGGGCATTGACTGGGATTAAGCATCGAAACATTGTGAACCTCTACGGCTATTGTTCGAAAGCACAACACTCGTTCTTGGTTTACGAGTATGTGGAGAGGGGGAGTTTGTCTAGTATTTTGAGCAATGAAGTTGAGTCCAAGAAATTGGATTGGCTTAAAAGGGTGAATATCATCAAGGGTGTAGCCTTTGCTTTATCTTACATGCACAGAGACTGTTCATCACCGATTGTTCATCGAGACATATCAAGCAGTAATGTGTTGCTTGATTCTGAGTATGAAGCTCGTATTGCAGACTTTGGAATAGCAAAGATTCTCAAGCCGGACTCATCCAATTGCACTGCGTTTGCAGGCACATATGGTTATGTCGCACCTGGTAAGTTTTAAATAGTTTATGAACTATATCCAAACACTATCTCATTTACATGTTTAAATTCTTAATATTGTTCTGGAAATTGTGTTGTTCAGAGCTTGCATATACAATGAAGGTTACGCAAATGTGTGATGTGTATAGCTTTGGAGTATTATCCTTGGAGATAGTCAAAGGAAAGCATCTTGGAGATTACATTTCTGTGCTAGCAAATTCATCGACTATAGATCCTGAGCAGCTTAGCGATTTGCTGGATGAACGCCTTCCATATCCTGATGATAGAGTAAAAGATGTTTTGGTTTTTATCATCAATCTAGCATGCTCTTGTTTGCTTGAAACTCCAAAATCAAGGCCAACAATGCCCTTCATCTCTCATAAGTTATCATCAATGGATGCACGCCTACCTATTCATCAGAAAACCCCCATATAAGGCAAGCTATATAATCCCTAACATATATGGAGATGAATAACCTTTGTCGCTGAGTGGTTGTGAAGTAAGTACTGTTTCAATTGCTTGGACTAGTGGTGGTCATTTGGTTTACTCTATTAATATGTATATTGTAAGAGGTAATTATTTAATCTTCTGCTTCTTTGGCCTTGAGTAAATATCAAGAATTCAAGTTGCTGCATTTTTTATTTTTTTGCTTTCGATCGGTCTACAACATATGCAGGCGCACTAGTTTTAATGATTTACTAGTCCTTTTATACTCTCGTAAGAAGAAAATAGTGGGATAGTTATGTTGTTTCTTCACAACTATTCCAATTCCAACCTCTATGGTGTATGCATATAAGATGTGAGAGCACACAAAGGAGCAGAAAAAGAGATTTGAGTTAAACTTCAACCTTTAAATGCCTTTATATAGTTCTTACTTGATCCACATTTTCCAAAAAAAAAAAAAAGAGAGAAAAATCACACAATATTATCAATCATTCATTTTAACTTTTCAAATTCTAGATTTATGTTATAGCAAGATACCAAGGAAGAGGTCAGATAATATAAATGTAGATAACTTTAGTCTTATTAAGAGACTAGTTTCTGAACACGTGCATTGCATGTGTATCCCAATTATATGAAATAGATATTTTTGAAATTGTAAGACAATATTAAAATATGATTGTGATGATTAGTTAAGTATGAGAGCAATTTGACTAAATATGTATGAGACTTTTTTTGTTTCCCATTTGATGTTCCGCTAATTCGAATTCATGTGTGACATTCCACTTTGAGGGTACTTCTTATTCTTAATGAATATTTATCAATCAATCAACAAATTTGATGAAAATATATATGAATTTTGGTCTGCACATATTATAAAAGGACAAATTTCAAATTTATTTCAAATTAATTAATTAATAAGGGTTCTTACTAACATGCTGATGACATTTCTTTCTTACTCATTAAGAAAAAGATATTTCGCCGTGCAGTAAAAAGCAACCTTTCCAGGAAAGAGTGAACAAATACACTGAAAGTTTAAAAAGCTTACTCCAAAACATACCACAGGAAAAATAATGAGAGATCACAATTATTTCCTCTTTTAGAAATAAAAACTACGACTATTATGATTAAATAAAGAATTGTAGCATAGCGTAAAAAATACAAAAAAAAATCATTCTATACGATAACAAATCAAGAAATAAGAAAAATATGAATAGCATATCCCAAAATTGCTTAGACTCTTAATATGCCAAGATATTATCTGGATTTGACAATCAATTCATTAAAAATAAAGAAACAACTATAAAAATAACAAAACTCAAACGAAAAGTAATAGGAAATGATTTTTTTAATCTGATTTGATAGGAAAATTGTTACTCACTCGTCTACAGGTTTATTAGTATGGACCCATCTCAATGTATAATAACACTTATAAATGTTTTAGGACCTTTTTGTCTATCATACCATTTTATACAAGATTTTAGAGATAAATCAGAAAACTCTCATTGTAAGAGAAAATGTTAGAATGAACTCCTAAATATATGTACCCAATCCACTCTATGGATTTCCAGATTATCTGCTTCACTATGGACACAAATACAATATTTTTGACGCCTCTATTATCGATCCGATGTAACTATTCCATACAACTGAAATATATTCAAAAAATTTGATACCGCTTTGCTGTTGTAGAGTTTTGGAATAAAATTGGCATTTTCTTCATTACTATCCAATTAGTAAATTTAAGATTGCTAGCTAGTAATGGATGAAAGTCAAAACAATAATCATTTATATAAACATGAATGAATGAAATGTAAAAAAGAATTTCCATCCAACAATATATATATTATTGATTTATCAAAAACTCTAACTTAAAAGAGATTATGGTAAGAATTTTTTAAAATATTTGAAATAAAGAATGAAAATTAAAGAAAATACCTTTGTAACATCTAGTCAATCCACATAGAAAGCGGTAGATATACCTGCCATCATATGATACAAAATGAGAAGATCTAAACAAAACAATATATTAATTAAAAAAGAAGGAACCCACAAATAAAAAATTAAGTGAGTACAACAAGAGGATGAAACACAAAAAATAAGTGGACTAACATTTTCTTGTTCAATTTATAAAAGGATAAACCAAAAATGAAAGGAATGCTAATAGAAGAATGTAACAACAGAAGCTAAAAGGACCAACGAGTAAACCTCATTAAGTAGTGGAAGATGATAAATTCTAGCCTTTAACAATGTATTTGGTCAACATAGCTGTTATTTTTTTATTTAATTAAGAAACTTGAAGGGCATTTTCGTAATCCAACTTTAGACTTAGAATCTTCCCACTTTTAATAAAATAATAAAATAATATAATATGATCATTGGCTTATTAAAAGCTAGTCACTTGAATACATTTGGGGCCATTTGAATGGATATATTTCACACTTTATTGCCTTTATTAAACTTTTACTTTTTGGTTATTTTTATAAAAAGTAACTAATGGATTAGTATTTATTTAAATGTAAAATTACTTTTTAGCACAAAATATTATAGGGATTATGGTAAATTAAAGGATATAAAGGTCTTTTAATTTTATATATGGGCAAATTACAGAAATCACATACTTTTAATGCAA